TTAAAAGGGAAAATTATTGTTCAGGATAAATTTTGAAAAATCATTACATATTGGTAAAAAAAAATTATCATTTTAATTATTAATATTTATAATCTTTATCACTTTTTTTTGTAATTTTTTTTTTCTAACACCATTGTAGTGTAATTTCTTCAATTTAAAATAGAAATATGTTTAAATATTTGTTTCACTTGATTTATTATTATTTTTTTAATAAGTAGGTATTCGGTAGGTGAGACTTGAAATGTAAAATTTCATAGTAAGTGTGAGTATTTTCTGATAATCTTACACTAGTTTCTATTTTATATATCTAATGAAATTATCTCATTTTTGTGAATATAAACATTTAAACTCTATTCGTTAAATATTATCCATTTATTTTATATAATTTTTATTGATTTATTTTGGGAATTACTTCCATTGATATATGAGGTTATATTTTAATAAGAGTTTCATAGCCTTTTGGCTAATTTATTCCCAACAAATTAAACAATCAAATAACGATATTTCTATACAATGATTGGGCCTAATCAAGAAGACCATACTGCAACCAAAATAATGATATATGGCTCAGAAAATTTATCAACTTAGAATCATGTATCTCATGCTCTAAAACTAATAAAAGCACTAAATTGAACACAGAATCTCAACCCAATATACCATATGCACCTTGTTATGTATTTTGTATTTCTGAATTATTTTTCTAAGAAAAGTACTTCCAAAATTGATTTAAACATAAGTTTATATTTACATCAAGAAGTTAACGAAAACTGATAAAAACAAGTTGACAAAATGAAACGAAACATGCAACTCATGAACTCAAGATCACCGACGGCAAGGCTCTAGGAGAAGCACGGCGACAGATTCATTACCGGAACAGTAATGACAGCGGATAGAGGCAGATCGACGGGAGGATCTCACCAGTGCCTACCGGACTTTCTGATGATGCCGAGATCCATTTTGAAAGACTCTGACGTGGTCTTGTTAGTCTTTCAGTCAAGTATCTCGTTTGATCACAAAAGTTCGAGAAGGTTGGAAGTTTATTGAGTGCAATTGAATATGGTGGTGAAAAGTGTGGTTGAGTGGGTGAAATGATTTGGTTTGCTTCTTATGACATTACGTTTGATGCACTATTTATAGACCTGGATGATTTGGAGGCCAGAAAAGGCACACTGTTATTGGGTCAGCACACTACAAACGTGATGCAATTGTTGGCCTTTGGTCATTATTTTTTTGGTATATTAAATGGATATAAAAAAAAATATCAAAAAAAAAATATTAAGTGATTTAGATTCAACTTTTACATGATAGAGTTCATACCTATAACTAATTTGAACAATATATTATTTTTAGCATTACTCCTTTTATAAGTTAATTTTTTGCTTCTAAAACCATCCGCAGAGGTAAGGTCTACTATTAGGGGTCTCTTTCAATTTGTGATCATTTCAAAATTCTTAGAGATGCAATAATGTCAAAATTGAACTTTTACTCCTTTTTTTTTTTTTTTTGTCATTAGAAACACTCAAAAAAAAGATGTCAAATGCATAGATGTACATTTCTGAGTATTTTTTAAAATATATATTTTTGAACATATGGTAATATTATTGTTGAAATTTTATCTCAGTCTACTTACTTTGCTGTTACTCAATTACTTAGGTTTACCTACAAGTACTTAAAACCATTGCAAAGACAAAACTGTGGTCGTTGGAACAATAAGAGAATTTCGTTGGATCACAAATGAATAGGTTTGCATGACAAAATTTTTTTGTTGTCGAAAACAGAGATTGTCATTTTCAAATTATCTTTATAAAATGGATCAAGTAGCAATAAATTTTAAATAGTAATTTTATAAATAGTTTGGTCTTTCATTTTTTCTTATGGATCCAAAGGTCTCATTCTAGTGTAAATTACATAAAGAACCAAGTATAAACACGCGTATGTTATGTATCGAGGAACAAACATGGATTTTCTTATAATGTTGAAATTACTAAACGTAATAGTTTGTATTTTTTCCAAACGTAACATCCAATGTAACATATTAAAAAACTCCTTAGTATACTTTTCTCAAACATAACACTTCAATCAGTGTAACACACAACTTTTTAGTATACTTTTTACAAACGTAACATTTAATGTAATATACTAAAAAATTCCTTAGTGTCATTTTCTTAAACGTAACAACGTAACATTTCAAAAAAAACTCATTAGTGCATTTTTTTCAAACGTAACACTTCAATCAATACAATATATAAAAACTCCTTAGTGTATTTTTCTCAAATGTAACACTCCAAAAATACTTCTTAGTAACACTTCAATCAATATAACACACAAAAACTCCTTAGTATACTTTTTCTAGACGTAACACTACAATGTAACATATTAAAAAATTTCTTAATGTACTTTTCTCAACGTAATATTTTTAAAAAATTCCTTAGTGTATTGTTTTTTAGATCAACAAAGAAAAGAACTTTATTGATAAAACAAAAAACTATTACATCAAAAAAGAGAAAAGGAGGATGACTGCAAAGAAACATCATACACTACAGGAAAAAGCACATTTGGCGACCAAATTTCCCGACTAAAAAAAATTTGGTCACTGAAAGTATAGCTTTCAGCGACCAAAACAACATTAGTAGCCAAAAGTAAAGGTTTTTGGTGACTAAACAATTTTAGTAGCCAAAAGTCTACAATTGGCGACTAAAAATAAGTTTGGTCACTGATTATATAGGTTTTAGTGACTAAAAAATTTTTAGTAGCCCAAAGTAAAGCTTTTTGGCGACTAAAAAAATTTAGTAGCCAAAAGTTTACAATTGGCGACAAAAAATAAGTTTGGTCGCTGATTATATGGGTTTTACTGACTAAAAAAATTTTAGTAGCCAAAAGTAAAGCTTTTGGTGACTAAAAAAATTTTAATAGTCAAAAGTCTACAACTGGCGACAAAAAAATAAGTTTAGTCGCCAAAAGTGGTATTTTTAGAGACTAAAATTATTTTGGTCGCTAAAAGTTAATTTTTTATTTTTATTTTGCAACTAAATAGTTTATTTTACATAAAATATGTAATAAAATAATTATTTTTATACATATACTTTTATATTAATATGGGTGTATATACTATATAAATAATACATGTCACATATCACTACAAGAATTTACACAATTGCCGACCACTTTTGCCGACCAAAAAAATTTTAGTCGCAAACAAATAACATTTGGCGACCAAATATTAATTAGTCGCGAATGATCATTATTTTTGGCGACCAAATATTATTGGTCGCAGAAGGTTATATTTTGGCGACCAAAAAATGAGTTGGTCGCAGAAAGTGGTATGCATTTGCCGACCAACTATAAATTTGGTCGCGGAATGTCACATAATTTTTGGCGACCAAAAATTTGGTCGCCAAAAACTTATTTTCACCAACCAAAAAAAATTAGTCGCCAAATTTATACTTTTTGCGACTAATATTTTAGTCGCTGTTGATTGAGATTTGGCGACAAAAAAAATTTGTCGGCGAAGGTACCTTTTCTGCGACCAATATGGTCTTTTGGTCGCCAAAAGATTGGGAGGGAAATTTGATTTTTATAGAGGCGAGAATTGAAAATTTTTGGTGACAAAAAAATTTGGTCGCCATTACTAAAACGACGTCGTTTTAAAAATATGCATTCACCTTCACATGCTCCCTCTCTCTCATTTCCTTTTGTTTGCATCGCTCTCCTGCTACTGATTACCCCAACACACTCCATTCACCAGCTCCAGCTATGTAAAAAGCATATACATACACTTTCAAAACCCATATCATAAATTTCTAGGGTTTGAATTTTCAAATGCAAATCCATTCTTCTTCTTCTTCTTCTTCATAGATCAGAGAGAGAGAGTGTGTGATAAATTGAAATTGATAATGCCAAGGCAGAATCGGGTTGTGGAGGGTTTGATTCCCGGATCCTGCAAGATCCGAAAGAGGGGTTGCTCTTCGTCTTCGTCCTCTGTGTTGCAGAATTACCAATTCAAGCGGGCCATTTTGGTGGGTAAGCCTCCGGGATCCAGATCGAGCACTCCGGTTCCGTCTTGGAGGACGACGGCCGCGGCTTTGGATTCTCGCAAGTACGCGCCGTAGCAGAGCGGTGGTGGGAGGTCGAGGCCAGTGTCTGCGAGGAAGCTGGCGGCGATGCTGTGGGAGATGAATGAGGTTCCGTCGCCTAGGGTTGGGGACAATTTGGAAGAGAAGAAAGCGATCAAGAGAGAGATGAGAGTTAGAGAGAGAATGGAGGTGCCGAGATCTGTGCATTCGGGTTCTCTACCTCCGTATTTGTCTGATCCATCTCACAGTCCTGTTTCAGAGGTGGGTTTCTTTTTCTTTTTTTGATAAATTTCTTTGATTGCTGTTTGGTTGCTGAGAAAACAGTTGAATAGAAAGGAGATTTTTAAATTTTTTTGTTTTTGTTTAAATCAATTGAGGCAGAGCAGTAGCAATTGGAAGTGTTTGATGTTACATTCCTTAGAAACGTTGACTTGGCATTCCAATTCATCGTGACCGCTACTCTATTCTACGTTTAAACTATTCAACATAGTTGCTTTTGTTTGAAATCTTCAATCTCCTAAATTCTTTTTCATTATCCTAACATAAGATCAAATCATATGTTATTCAATTACTACTCAGTATTTTTTAATAAGCCCTTCTTTGTCACTTCATTTGTCTATTTCTATTCTTTCATATTTTGTCTCTAAGAACACAGAAACCAAATATAGAAGAATTTTTCAAGACATAACAATCCCATAAATGGAAGTTGGCAAGTCAAATTTGAGTTCAAAGGTAGCTTGACAAGTTTTATTGCCAATTGGTGGGAGAATAATTACAACATCGAAAAGTAAGGCATAACAATCCCACAAATAAAAATTGGCAAGTTAAATTTGCGTTCATGGGTAGCTTGATAAGTTTCTTTTATGTCAATAAGTAGGACAATAATTATAAATATGAGAATATTATATCAAACTGATTATTAGCTCAACAATAACTAAAAATATAACACAAAGGCCTACCTACTGAACTTTTAGACCAGCTACCCACAAGGTTTGTGTTTCATATCTTTATTTCTTCCCCTTTTATTTGTCAATTGATTAATAAGATGCTGCATTTCAGCTACGTAATTAAGTCATTTATTATTTGCACTTTTGTCTGCATCAGGTGGGAGCGACTAGGGGATATTATTGTGCTTCCAATGACATCCTTCAAGGATCCAGCATGGGATTCAGTTGGAGCTGAGCTTTGGCCTATTGTTGCCAAATCACTTGGTGCCCAGAGACTTGCTCGGCAGGTAAGTTCCATAAACAAAACTGCATCTGATTTGCCATGTCTGCTTGTTGATGTTGTCTTTCGTTTAATGGGCTTCAAAACATATTTATTCATGCCGATTTGGTGTAGTGTATTTTTTATTGAGCTGCTTTTGTTCGACATGTTAGATTACACAGTGATCGGAAGTCATATGGAATTTGTATATTTATGTTCATTAAATTGGTTGCTAATTGTAACTCTATGGAGACATCAAACATGTAAATTGTAATATAGTGACAATACAAATTTAATGTGCCAAATATTATTGAGTACGGCCACTTTCTAGCTGGAACAATAGACAACTGGAGATTCTTTTGTTTGGCACCAATAACACCAATGCTGTGTTGTTATAATGTTGTAATACTATCTGTTATTTGCATATCCATTGAGCTCACTGTCAGGACAAGTCATAGAAAATTCCCTTAAAATTTCAGTCAGCAAAATGATTTTGATGCATTTGTATTTGGTTTATAGTGAATGGCTCTCTGTTAAATGATTGTGCTGGTATTGCTAGGGCCGAGTTGCTCCAACTGGAACTAGGGACAGTTCTTTGGAGATTCTTGTGGGAGATAATGGCTGGGTTGACCATTGGGAAAATGGAATTCTCTATTCCTTTGATTCAACCAAGTGCATGTTCTCCTGGGGCAATCTTTCTGAGAAGCTTAGGATGGCCCGTCTTGACTGTAGAGATGAAGTTATTGTGGTATTAGATGTATGTATGTATGTATTAGGAGATGGAAGTGAAACTGTAACATAAGTAGTCACTTGTGAATTTGATCGTAGAATTTTAAAAGTAAAACTTTGGCTCTCTTTAGGAATAGAATGTTAAGTCAGGAAAATGGACTTCTACTCTATTATTGTCTTGGTCTTTAATCTGCCTCAAGTCAAGCACTGTAGCAGAACTGGAGGGTGAGCATGGCTGCCTTGTTGTTCTGTGAGCATGGTGGTTGATGCTGACATGGTCCCAGGTGTGTTCTGCTGGTATGTTTTTCTACTGGGTGTGGGTGTGCTCTGCTGGTATGTTTTTTCTGCTGTGATTCTGCTCTAGGAATACCTTTGGGGGTGGGTGAGGGTAGCAATGTGGATCAAGTGACTGTAACTGCTACTGTGTTAAGGTGAGCATGGCTGCTCTGGTGTCTTGTGAGCTGGGGGTGGGTCGAGCCACTGCTGGTGTTATCCTTGCTGTGTGTGGGTGGACTGGAGTCACAGGCTTATGCAGCTTGAGTTGGTTTTGGTTAAGGTTCTAGTATGTTAAGGAATTGATTAAACTCAGAGTGGCTTTGTGGATTAAAAGCAACACTGCAGGGTTTTACTACTCAGTACAGGATGTTGTTTCCCATATCCAACAAATTAGAACCCCATCAAAGGTTATTTAATGGTGTATGCTATTGCTCTATGTTGCTGCTCTGAGGCTGCTATTTGGTCTGCTGATGTTCTGCTTTGAAGTTGTTCTTTTTGCTGCAGTCTGTCCTTGTCACGATTGATCGCCATGAATGGTATGCCCCTCCTCAGATTTACACGCGCAATGACAGTACTGGTTTATGGAAAATAAAGCCTGCTTTGCCACCTGAATCTCCATTCTTGTCCCTTGGCATGAATAAGGCCGAAAAAGCTCCTGCAAAACATACAGCTCCATTAGATGCTGGTGAGGCTAGTCTAATGGAGCATGTGCATCATGATATCAACCAGGAATCAACAGATGGTTCCACTAGTATCGAAACTAGTTCTGAATATGTTGCTGTGGGATTACATTCTTCAAGGTGTATCAGTCACAGCAGCTAATGCTTCAGTAGCTGAGCGTGTTATAGAACCTACTCTTGTGATGTTTGAGGTAATTTTGTCGAGGATTCATATTATACTGTCTTTGTTGGTTGTCTTTTGACTGTTTATTCTATTGTATTAATTTTTTGTTTATTTTTGCTATTTTTGTTTATTTATCATTACTATTATTAAGTATTGTCATTACTATTAGTAATGGAAATAGTAGAAGTTGTTTGTTGCTGGATGGCATCAGACTTGGCAGGATTAAGAGTCATTGGAAAAAAGAATAATATAAAAAGAAGGCAAAAGATTTGGAAAGACAATTACTGAGCATGGATGTGTAAATGCTAAGTCCAGAAGATACTTGTGAGTCGTGACCATACTAGTTATTAAGCGGATGAAGAGTTGGGATTCAAAACAAATTTGGTATTCTTGAAGAAGTAATCCTCTCATCATTTTTCTCATGGATCTGCTTTAATTCTATTATAAAAGTGCAACACCTTTTCTTTTCTACACCTATTTGGCTATTTTGATTTCTCTTTCATGATATGATACATGAGGTGACAATGATGTAGGCAATATTTGCGTTCTTGAAACAATATATATGTGAGAGGGAGATAGAAACTATGAACCCACTGATGTTTCCACTTGTACTGCCTTTAGCCCAATGTTACTCAGATGCAAACTGTTTTCATACATGGAAGGAGATCACAGTATAAAGAACAAAATGAAATATTTGAATTTTGCTTTCATTTCCGCCGTCAAGCATATGGTCCTTCTGAGATTTGTGTATGAGTTCTGTCTGAGTTTTCATGAACTATAATTTATTATTATTATTATTAAAAATTATTGTTACCGTAGCTATGGTAGTTGCTGTGTGGTTGAGAATGGTTTGATGGATGAGCATTTTCAAATTAGTAATCCTATGAGAAGTAATTCACCTGATGTGAAAACTTGCAGGTTCATGTACCACCATCATGCATGGTTGATGGTGTGCGCTCGCAACATTTTTTAGGAACTGGTGTTATTATATATCATTCTCATAACATGGGATTGGTTGCTGTTGACAAAAACACAGTTACGATATCTGTGTCTGATGTGATGCTCTCTTTTGCTGCCTTTTCCAATTGAAATCCCTGGGGAGGTAAAATTTTAAACGTTGTTCAGGACTGAAGACTGTTTTCATCCATCGTGATTTAGCCACTACCCACTAACTTCTTGTGCAGGTGATTTTCCTCCATCCTGTCCATAATTATGCTCTTGTTGCATATGACCCTTCTGCTCTAGGAGCTGATGGCGCCTCGGCAGTTCGTGCTGCGGAACTTCTACCTGGTAGGTGTATTATTTGTTGATTCACCGATCTCTGTTTACAAATATGGAATGTTTCGATTGAATTCCAAAAGAATACCTAGCTTGAGGGCCTATATTATTATATATTTAAAAATGGGCATGAAGTGGAAATCCATAACTAAGAAACAAAAATTTATCGTAACTGTAGATGGATATTTGGAGAGCCCATGCTTTTCGTGAACATTTTTTAACCAAGGATAGTCAAAGCCATGAGACTACCCTGAAAAGCCTGATAATAATGTGCGCCAGAAGCGGTCTCTGTGTAATACCATTCCTTGATGTTCTCACTATGCTGCTCTTTATAGTCTCTACCAAAATAGAATGTAATTATTTTTACTTTTTACCATGTAGATTTGCATTAAATTGATAAGCATTTCCATGATATCAAAATTAATGCACTTGCATTGTATGAATGAGACTCTCTGTTCTGTTAATGGTAATGGGAAGAAAGATCATACATGTTGTGACAGAACCTATGCTGCGTCGTGGAGATGCCGTCTGTCTTGTGGGATTAAGTAGGAGCCTGCAAACTACTTCAAGGAAATCTGTTGTCACCAACCCTTATGCTGCTTTGAATATTGGCTCTGCTGATCGTCCGCACTACAGAGCAACCAACATGGAAGCCATTGAGCTTGATACTGGTAACTTGACGAGTCATTTTAAGGCTTGAAATGGATATCAATTTTTCAAATGTTGATTGTCCCGCTGTCTTATGTTGTTCTTCTTGATAAGTTTGTCTTGGCGTCATCTGATTTGGGTTTCAGATTTTGGTAGTACATTTTCGGGTGTGCTAACCGATGAGCATGGCAGGGTTCAGGCTCTATGGGGAAGCTTTTCCACACAGGTTTGTCCTGTTCACTCTTTCTTGTGAGCTGCCTTATTAGGAAAACTTGTTTTGATTCTTTCATTCCCAATTACAGCTGAAATATAGAAGTAGTTCATCAGAAGATCATCAATTTGCCCGAGGCATTCCAATTTACACAATCAGCCAAGTCCTTGACAAAATAATATCTGGTGCAAATGGACCAAAGCTTCTCATAAATGGTGTCAGAAGGCCAATGCCACTTGTCAGGATTTTAGAGGTTGAACTTTATCCAACTTTGCTTTCCAAGGCACGTAGTTTTGGACTGAGTGACAAATGGATCCAGGTACACTCCCTGATATGAATTTCTTTTTTCTATTTCATGCTTTCAATCTGGCTACAGTTTCCTTTTGTTTTAGCATCTAGATATGATTTGGATCTACTAACAAAATACCAAAATACCAAAATACCAAATTTGTCAACTTATTAATTATTGAAGTTTATGAACTTATTAGGTAATTATTAAAGGGTTGACCGTGCTTATTAGGTATATAATTTGTCTTCATGCTAGACTCAATTTCTTTTGGTTGATTGTTCCTTTTAGTAGTCTACCACTCAAATGTACTTATATTCTATAGACCAAAGGCTAAATCTCCACCTCAAGATGCTTTACTAAAACTGGAAACAGAGCAAACTTTCACTGAACTATCTCAACAGAGCTCCATGTTTGTTTTTAAGCTGGGTTTAGTTAAGCTCCAATGCTGCCTCTTGATGAATGGGCTTGTTGTTGATGCTAATGATACTTGCTCGAATTTCTTGTTGCTTCTTCTTCCTCCATAATAATATATTCTTCTATTTTCTTAGCTTTTGTCTTTAACTGTGGTAATATTTCATTTAAATTTTGTTTGTCTTATTATCGAAATTATTATGGTGTGTTCCCGTTGAGAGGTACATTGCTTAATGTGCGGAAAGCAAGCCATAAACAGATCATGGAGAACGCTGAAATCACGAGCATCAAGCAGATTCTTGGACTTCAGCATGGAAAACAGTATGACAGTGTGAAGACTTTGAGATATGGTCATTTGATGATCATGACTGATCAGGTTTAAAACATTTAACTTCTTGTTTAGTCTTTTCTTTTGGTTTTATCTATATGCAATGGACAATGGTGAAATTTTATATGTTACAAAAATCTGTTTAGAATGTTTAGAATCTGTTACCAAAAATGTGTTACTAAAATGTGGGACCTCTAGTGATGTTTAGAATGTCTCATGTCATTTCTTTATGTCAGTAGCTTTAGGGGAATTGAGTTCTATCCTTTTTTGTATTTTTCTTTCATGATTGTTCTTCAAGTAAGTTATCTTTTTGGACAAAATAATAAAATCTAATTTTTCATGATAACCCACAACACTATATATATATGAGTAATGCAATTCATCACTGTCAGTAGGAGTAAATGCTGATAGTGTTTCACAATTGAAGAGTGCTGTATGGAAAGAACGGCTGGAAGGTTATTCTCTCTCCATGTCCAATGTTTATACTTAGTTTTTCTGATTTCTCTTGAACATGTACCATGAGTTTTGGTGATCATGAAGGGAAGAATGAAAGACCGTCAAAGTTTATGACGCTGGGTTTACCACTATATGGAACGTCACTTGCGCCATTCCTCGAATTTATGTGCTATGTTATTGCCTATTGGGAAATTGGAAAGTAAGAAATATTTATTGTGCTGAAGGGCCCACTTCAGGTGAATTGCAAATTTTAGGTCATTTAAAGGGAATGGAGCTTTGATAGTTAACTATGCCCGAATAAGTTCATGTTAGGTCTTCAATAACTCATCATTTGTAAGATATGCTACCTAGAGAAGTAATTAGTGTCTGATAGAACTGCTCAACCTCCAATTAGCAATCATTGAATTTTATTTGTGTTGGAGTAGGATTTGACAATGACACAGGTATTTAACTTTTTTGCTTATCTTACTGGCAGGGTTGTTATGGCTATTAGCTTATTAATCATCGTGTACTGAAATTTGCAGGTACAGCAACAGGTACAGTTTTATTATGCCAGCTAGTTGTCTTAATACGATGTACATGTTTATAGGATTTAATTGATTTTTGCAAAGATACGGGTTTGCAATCCAATGTTGCTGCCACTATCATGCTTCTCTGATAAATTTTCCAATTCTGTTTCTTTATTAGGTGCCTTACATCACTACTGCTTTGATGGATGCGAAGCTTGGCACGAAAGGGCGCAAGGATCTTTTTGATTGGCTATCAAGGCAACTTAATGGATTAAGCAATTTTCCTATTGCTGTAAATCTGAATTATGTATTGTTTCAAAAAAATGACAATTGCCGACCAAGAGTTTTGGTCGCAAAAAATACATGTATTGCCGACCAAAACAGCTCTTGGTCGTGGAATCTCACTTTTGCCGACCAAAAGTTTTGGTCGCGAAAAGACACAAATGGCGACCAATTTTTTTGGTCGCGAAATGTGACAATTGGCGACCAAAAAATTTGGTCGCGAAATGTAAAAATTGGCAACCAAAAGTTTGGTCGCCAAATGTGACAATTGGCGACTAAGAAATTTGGTCGGAAAAATATCACTTTTCGCGACCAAAGTGTTTTGGTGACAAAATAAATTAGTCGCGGTAATTAAATATTTCGCGACCAAAAATTTAGTCGGCAAAATCCAACTTTTGCCGACCAACCATAATTTTGGTCGCGAATTACTTTTGCCGACCCTCAATTGGCGACTAAAGTAGCGACCAAAAAATTTGGTCACGGATAACTTTTGCCGACCAAAAATAGACTTTTAGCGACCAATTTTTTTGTTGCCAAAAGTGTTAATTCTTGTAGTGTATATAGTCATGTAGTGCTATAGAGGCGTAGTGGGAAGAGTGTGGTGCATAAGGTTTATGGTGTGAGAGGTTGGCGGTTCGAGTCTCCGCAAGAGCGGATCAAATTGTTCTACAACATTTTTTTTTTTTTTTTTTCACGTTTGGAGCTTTTGGCCACTAAAGGTGTTGGTCGGCGATTCCTTGACTATTGGCGACTAAAACATTGGTTGGTAAATATATAATTTTAAAGAAATATAATTGACTATTGGGGACCAAAATTTTGATCGCTAAAGACTTGCTTTTTGCCGACCAAAGGTTTTTTGGTCGGCAAAACCCTCCAAGACCTTTCCTGACAGGGTTTTGCTAACAAACGTAGTGACCAAAATTTTTGGTCGCAGAATGTCATTGGCGACTAAAAAACAGACAATTGGCGACCAATATTTTAGTCGCTAAAAGTGACTTTTTTTATAGTGATAGCGAACCAAATTAATCCCAACTAGATTGGCACCAACAAGACCGCCCAATCATATGTTAGCACACCATCGAGAGTTGGTGAGGAATCAACCACAAACACCAAAATCAACTCACCCAAGTAGGAGTAAAACAATCCAAATACAAACCGAACCCCAAAATTGACAAATAGCAAGAAAAACATAACAATATCAAAGAATAACAGCCCCAACAGCCAACTGAGATGCTCATTGCCCGTATGGACCAACAGCAAAGCATAGCAACTAAAAAGGAACAGCAAATAGAAAATGACACAACCTACATAAATCACCTACAACCCATAGCAGCAGCAGCCACCACACAGTAAATACATATTTTCGCCTACAGCAGCAGCAATCCATCATAGCAATAACCACCAGAAAATAACCCATACCAAATAGACACATATCTACCATCAAAATCATGAAAGAGCATTATATTTAAAGTAGACAAAGGTGAGAAATAGCCTCTCTCAATAGCCAACCTTGACACAATAACAGCAGAGCCTCCTCTCAGCCTAGATCATATGTCTCACCCATTTAATGTTTGAAACAATCTCGTGAATGGAGTAACAGCAGCCCGAATCGTAATTCTTCAACCACATGGCCACTCTAATTTTAATTAGCTCAGACAAAGCATCAACATCAGGATGAGTATTGTTAAATACACAATCATTTCTATATAACCACAAAGACCAAACAACAGAAATAAAAACAACTCGCCAAACCTTCTTTTTCTTTTTCCTGAGCTTCCACCCTAACCACCAGTACATCAAACCTTCAAAGAACCTGGTAACACCCATTGAATTCCCTATCAAGCCATGATGTTAGACCAAACACACCACACAAAAGAGCAGGACAAAAGAAGATGATTAGAAGTCTCCTCCTGAGCTTTGCACAGCACACAACGCAAATTCCCAAGACCTCTCCAAGCTCCAACTCTACTGAGGAAAACAGATGTTTTCAATCTACCCCACCAAGCAAGCCAAGTAATGAATTTAGCCTTGGGAGGAGCAATGGAGTAACAGCGGCCCGAATAGTAATTCTTCAACCACATGGCCACTCTAATTTTAATTAGCTCAGACAAAGCATCAACATCAGGATGAGTATTGTTAAATACAGAATCATTTCTATATAACCACAAAGACCAAACAACATAAATAAAAACAACTCGCCAAACCTTCTTTTTCTTTTTCCTGAGCTTCCACCCTAACCACCAGTACATCAAACCTTCAAAGAACCTGGTAACACCCATTGAATTCCCTACCAAGCCATGATGTTAGACCAAACACGCCACACAAAAGAGCAGGACAAAAGAAGATGATTAGAAGTCTCCTCCTCAGCTTTGCACAGCACACAATGCAAATTCCCAAGACCTCTCAATGCTCCAACTCTACTGAGGAAAACAGATGTTTTCAATCTACCCCGCCAAGCAAGCCAAGTAATGAATTTAACCTTAGGAGGAGCAAAATTATTCCAGACAAGCTCTGGATATCCTAGGGCAGACCCAGCACTCTATTGGCACCAATTATACACAGAGCCAACTTTAAAGATTGCTGACTGCTCAGCCTTCCACCTAATTGAATCCCTTTGATTAACATCAAGGCCGGGTCCTACACCCAACAGATTTTGCAGCCTTATCACATTCTCTTCTTCCCATCCAAAGAAAGGCCTTCTAAAATTGAAACACCAATAATTATTACTAACTCTGCGAGACATCTACATCTTCAAATTGATCTCCTTATCTAAATTCAATTGATACAACCTTGGAAATTGAGATTTGAGGCTTGATGTTCCTATCCAAATATCAACCCAGAAGTTCACCCTATTCACATCGCCAATCCTAATCCACATTTTCCAGAAAGAAGTTGTACAACGAAAGTTTAAATATGACACAACAAGGACCTCTCTCCAAATAGAAGAAACTGAAACCAAATCATGCACTAGAGGAAACCATCGACCCCCCGATACCCCATATTTAGCACAAATCGCAGATTTCCACAAAGCCTCATCTTCGAAAGCATATCTCCACCACCACTTGAGAAGCAAACATGCATTCATCAATCTGATATCTCTAATTCCAAGGCCTCCTTGCTTCTCATTCAGCTGCACCTCTTTCCATTTTACCAAATGGATTTTCCTTTTAGATTCATCCCCACCCCATAAGAACCTTGCGTGAATCTTAAACAAAGACATATAATAAACAGGTAGGGAAGACAAAACAGATTTGATAAGAGTGACCCTACCTGCATAGGATAGTAGCCTGTTTTTCCACCCAAATAATTTCTTTTTAAACCAATCTACCACTGGCTGCCATGTTTGTTTTCTACCTGGGTTGGCACCAAGTGGCATCCCAAGATACTTTAAAGGTAACTTGTGGCTCAAACAGTTAAGTGTTGCTACAAACTCCTCCACCAACCCATCATCAACTCCCACCCCGCAGATCATACTTTTATGAAAGTTTATCTTCAACCCTGAGACCACTTCGAAGCATCATAAAATTCATTTGACTGC